TGATTGTAACATTCGACTACTTCCAATGTTGGCCGCAAATACGTGAGTTCATACATACAGTGGGACGTGACGTGTATACAGTTTTTAGGCCTATGTGAAAGCATGGGTTTTGTCTTTCTGATAACTAATTCTGCACCATAATGTTTTTCGATGGCTGGTTGCCTCAGCTTTGGAATTATACTATTTAATTCCCCTATAAGGTAATGTTACATGAACCCTTTTTGAACAAGAATCAGAGTGGTTTCCAGTGTTAACTAGCTTTTACATCAATGTATGAACTGTAACAGATACCCGCTTAATTATGTTTATTACCACTCAACACATATAACACCGAAACTTTTGATATCATTGGTACGTAAAATGAGATTCTGGGAGATAGTGTTGTGATTTACTTAAACCAACAAATATTTTTCAGATCGAAAGATTATTTGAAAACTCATACTCATAAATGGCAAACTGATTGCTGGGTAAACAACAATACTATGTAACTAAAAAAAGCTCCTCCGTCAAAGGTTTTTGGATTAGTATTTAGCATAAACGGGAAAAGTAAACATGTTTTAATAAATGAAGTCTTTATATTGATGCACATGAGTGACAATAAAATTATAAATGTATATTCTTTTCAACACCGAAGATGATTCAATCAGTAAACTGTCTAATACTTCAGTTTATTATTTAACTCAATTTAGGCACTCGGATAGTATCGCTGGCCTGTATATCATAAGTGACTTACAGTTGAGTACATAAACATAAGTTCAGTAAATTAGTTGTCTCCATATTTTGTTCAAATCTGTCAAGCTTGAAATAAGATGACAAATAGAATGACAACAAACTGCAATATTTTTGGGAAAATTGAACCAAACAAGTTACTCGTGTTAAAGGTGGTAATCACAATTGTTAGAATTACTTCGATACATAGAAGCTGAAGGAGTACCCAGTCAAAAAATAAAACGTTTTGTACAACCGATAACAACTCAGTGCCATGACTGACTACTGTTAATAATTGTAGTTGAGCTAGGAGAAGAGTATACAATTAATTGACTGATGGACTAAATGATATCAATTGTATTATACTAATAAGTTCTATCAAGCATAATGACAGCTACGTATGTGCTTTTACTGGCTTTTTATTTAAGGAGACAACACGAGAACGAGTAAACTTAGTTGTATATTTACTGAATCACCGTACTGCAATATTATGCTAAATAAAAACATTAAAACTCAAAATGCTAACCAATCCATTTTCTGACCAGGATGCAGCAAGGTATCGACCCCTATGTTGTCTGGCCCGGACTCGATTAACTGTACCTTGATGTAGGATAGTAGCCGCCTCAACATCAGGTTCCGCATCAAGATCTCCTTCAGAATCACTTTCTTCCTCTGAATCAGAATCCGTGTCTCCATTAGAATCCTGTGGGTGCCAAATAAATAAGATAAAATGACTATAGTAGTATTTTAAGAGTAAACAAATTGATACATACTAATGTTTCACAACTGCAAATTCAATACAGTGAACGAGACTGTTTTTGTCCTCTTCTCTGCCCCACTTACTGGGGTGAAAAGACCAGCTTAGTGACTGAGACCTGTTCAGGATGACTCCAGGATATCAATTGAAAATACATTTGAGTTAATCGATCACAACGTGTACATTTGTTATCGAACAAAAATCATACTAAAAATATCCGTTAGCAGAGGTCACATTGAATAATTTACTGTCACAAAAATTCATCTAAACCGACATCGATTTCCTTTCCCATAAGTTACACTAGGGGAATGAACATTCCTAACACGAATTTCGGAAAACAATCATCTTATGCTTACAATGAAACAAAAAGAAATGAAATCCAGAAAACCAACCAAGATGTTTATATATATCGAAATATTGGTTTTATTAACATACATAAATGCTTAGGTACGGGAGGAAAGGAGTCAACCAAAGGTAAGTAGATACTGAAGGAATTCACATTACTGTTTTCAAATATAGTCAGTGACTGGGCAAACTGGTGAGATTATTTCCGCAATCAGTCATCAACGTATATTCACAAATTGATATAAATTTATGCAATCTAATATGTTAAAAGGACATCTACCCAAATACATAGAACAGAAAGCCTGTTTGCTCTGCAGGTGATGAAACTGAAATAATCCCCCAAACATAGGTAGAACAGCATTGTGTTAAGGTATTATCGTATGGAATTAGCGCGGAAAGTCTATAACAATCATGGAAGTTGTAGATTTATCATTAAACTGCAACAGAAAACCACATAGTTACTGACACAAACATCATAATATCTGGGTTTTAAAAATATCTACCGAACAAAATTGAGAGCACAAAGGCAACAGGTGCATTCAAATCGGGAACGACACCAGGGATATACACTAAGCTACTATCAAATCTAGTTGTTGGTCCACCAGACTAAAATAAGTGCTTACTTTATAAACATGGTTCGCTATGTATTGTACGAATAACAGACATTTGCTTTCCACTTTATCTTCTGATATCTCAGCTTTAAGTGAAAACACAACTCGTCAAGTCCCCATATCGACTATACCACCAGTTATCAAAGAATGATAGATATAGATAAACTGTACGTCAAATAGAACATGTAACTAAAATTTCTTGGCACGGTACGCACTTAGTTTAATAACAAAATGACTTCCCTGATTGGTTAACAATCTGCTTACTAACAAGTTTTTTCATCACTTTTGTTTCATTAACCTTATCAAGAAATTTTTGCCCACCAGTTTCCAGACACCTAATCAACTGCCATATATTAAACAATAAGCCAAGAATTGTCAAAAACAGTAAGCGGTAAAAAGGTAATGGTGAATATTCCTACTGACTAGCTATAAACCTTGACCTCCACTCCAAGCAAATGACTGGGTTGTGAAGGGATATGTAAACTGCAAATTAATAAACACTGACAACGAACTGTCTGAAAGAGTATTCGAAAACTGAAGGATGAAACTAACAAACCGGACTTCCAGAAATGCACTAGATATTGAACTGGCTGTGGCTGTATTAAATCATACTACTACAGCACTCAGAATTTAGTCCGCAGATATCAGTTACCTAGGGGGAAATTAAAATGGCAAAGCAGTGCCACGGTGGCACTACAGAGTTGAATACTATTCCAATTCGAAATGTGGTTTAAGTTGGCCAGAGGAAAGAAACTTAGGTTCCAAGACGCCAGGAAGTTCAACGATGATTAAAAACTATACGTATTTCTCACTTTATGACGGTCGTTTCCTAAAGGTTAGAGCAGGAATCTACCGTTCAACTTTCACTCCTTATATTTTCAGTGAGCGAACTAATATAACAAATGCGCACTACATAGCATCACTAACAAGACCCATAATTGATTTACATCGGGATGATTCAGTCTTTTACTATACCAGTTGAGGCAATTCGGATGTTTGAACCCCATCTTAAGTTATCAAGGTCCTTAACGGAACGAAACTAAATTGATCGCTAGACGTAGTATTTGTTATTTTAGTCTTGATTGCAACGAACCTTTCTTTTGAACGGCAACATATTGGACAGACGCATGATTACAAGTTTGTTTTGATTATCTTTAGGTGCCTCAGTACCCGATATGAGGCAAACACTGTGAGCCTCACCATTAACTTCAACACAGCGATCAAAACCAAGGTTATCTGTTAGAATATCAAAACTGAGACTTGGAGATTCCACTTCTAATTCGAAAAACATTCTATAAGCACTTTTATCCATAACTAGCTCTTCGTCATCCTCAAGTGGACGAGATCGACCCAGAATGTAAACCTCATTTTTGTATTCGAACCCATCTACTTCCATCAATTCATTATTCTCCTTCGTCTTCGATTCTTTGCAACTTTTTTTCCCTTCCCGATCGCTCTCTAAAGACCCTTCACTGGAATTACAACTCATCACGAGATCAGGCTTGAAAGTCGCACGACTTTTCAAGGTCCATCCAATATCCAATATCTTCAAATGGTTCAAATGGTTCAAATGGTTGTGGACGGAATAGAATAAGCTTTCGCTTAACAGGCTTCCGTGTCTAGTAGCAGGGGATCACGAAATCCTCCAGGCAGGAACCTAGGTATGTTAACAATAAAAAAGGAAAAGAAATTGGTAAATCATAATGTGATGCTGTCCTTGGTCCTTAAGAATAGGTCAAGTTGCCTCTTGAAGGACTCCTGAGAAGTCGCTTGGACTAGCTCGGCCGGCAGCGAATTCCAGCATTTGACAACTCTTAAGGAGTAGAAGTTGTGTCTACATTCCGTCTTGCTATGTTGTGTTTCCAGTTTCTGGGTGTTACCCCTTAGGTTATTATTCGAACTAAGCTTAAGTAGGTGTTTAAGAGGATGTCCAGAAGTGTTAAGAATGCTATAAGCCATTAGTAAATCACCTCTAAGACGCCTATATTCTAGTGGGTAAAGGTCTAGTGAACGGAGGCGTTCTTCGTAAGGTTTAGATTTGAGTCCTCGAACTGATTTCGTGGCTCGCCGTTGGATACGCTCCAAAGTGACTTTGTCCTTATGGAGTGAGGGGGGGAGTACTATGTTTCCGTACTCTAAATGGGGACGGACGAAACTATTGAAGATTGTGTGGAAAGTTCTTACGTCAAACTGGCCAAAAATGCGCTTCAACGTTACCAGTGCAAGGTTTGCTCGGAAGGCATTTTTGTCACAGTTAGCGTAAGACTTTAAGTCATGGGGCACCAGGACTCCTAAATCTTTTTCGACTTCGGATACTACTAGAGAGGAGTTTCTGTGACCGACCAATGTATATCAAGTAATTTCCTTGAGCTAGCTTCCTGCTTCTTCGGTACGGTTCTAGGTATTTTGTGGTGCATAATTCAGAGGAGACTAGTTACTCGAATGCTCTAGTCCTAGTCAGTTTGGTAGTTATATGTAGGTTTTCATATTTTGTAATTTGAGTGAATGAACTAGTCACAGGGTTGTAGGGGTTCTGGAACCAGTAGCTTTTCTATTATCGGGCAGCAAGCTATTTATCTGCAGAGTGAAGAGTAATAAAAAGGGGAACTATCCAACAAACGTAGCAAGCAAGATAAAAAAGATGACATGCAAAGGGATATGATAGGAAACAAGATAGGAATAAGCTGATAATAAGGAGTGATAATGCTGGCGGAAAAGCTGTGATATATTCATCGGTTTCGACTAATCTAAGCAAGAGATGGTAATCTATGGTTGGGTACATTATTGTTGAGCCTTTTGGAGCTATCCTATGGTTAACTGCCCAACATCGTAATCCGTGTCGTTAGTTCAGAAAGGATTTTCACTGGAAAATATGCTTTTTTGTTTCACGTGATTCTACATGATCATCGATTAACACTTTGACTGGTTAAGTTTCAGCAGATTGACCACTGCTTGTCTCGACTCAGAACTCCAGTCAATCTTCTCCGAATCCCACGTACATTCAAGTCTTCGCGTCATCAGCACAGATGAAGGACTCTAAGCTAGTATGATTTGAAAGTTCATGAATAAAAATCACGAAAAGGAGTGATCTTGAAACGGTTCTCTGTGAAATTATTTGTCTAAAGACTTCTGTTTATTGCATTCAGCTTGGTGAAGAAATTTTGGTTTTTCTCTGAGTGAGCGAAACTCGTCTCCACGACTTTCAATATGTAAAGTTAATGTAGCAGCGTATCGAGAGCTTCTTCGAAAAAGAGAACCATTACACGGACCGGTATGTTTGGTCATAGTTTGTTGTTTATTTGTCTCAAACCAAGATATTACTGGACGTGCATGGACGGCTTTTCTGAATCCATGTAAGGTTTCACGAGTGATGTCATTCGTGTCTACATATTCCCACACTTCGTTATTAAGCAGCCCTATCATAAATGACGCGGTCGTTCTGCAAAATGTTTGGTGATTATCTTCCTCGCCCCTCAAAACTGGATGGAAAAAAGCCTGTATTCTTTATGATGATTAGAAGTATTTAAGTTATTATACGAACTAGGAATCCCAGAAATAACGCACTTAAGGCTATATGGAACTAAGTGAGCACGAACGAACGTAATGTTTGTGGAATTCAAACCCAGACATACACCAAGTACGAAGGAATCACTGGTTCATACAAACTGCTGAAATTCTAGTGAATGCCTCGACAAGTCACACATCGGTGTACTGGTAGACAGGATTGTCAGGTAGCTGCTGTTTACCGACGACTATCTTTGGCCCAAGAATTTTGGTTTTTCGTACTATCAGGATGGGCATGCCCTAGACTGTCATTTGGTTGTAAGGCGACAGAGCGTCCCGTGTACCATGTCTCTGAATACACTGAGTGATAAATTTAGGACCAAAGAATTTTGTTATTGCTAAAGTGATTATTTCTTCACCGTAAAGCCATTTAAGTGTACATGTTCATTTGTTTACAAGCTCTCATTTAATAATTGAATTATGGTGACACTTCATGTTGGCTTGTGTTTTAGTACCTCAGTTGGTTTGTAAATACCTCTCGTAGCCTCATACTCCATCTATTACGCAATGACAACTAAGGTATGTTAACAGAATCTTACAAATAAACTTCGCTTATTGGAGATCCCACGCCTTGTCTGATACAGGCGTTCCGTTCCTCATTTCAGCCAGGATTCAACACCCCTAGAAGACTTTTTAGCTTAAATGTGTGTTAGAACTAATCATCACCTATTTGTCAGTTATTCAGATTGGAAAACGTCTTCGACATTTTGATCTGAAAGTGCATTATATGATAAAAGGAGCGAGTGAAGTGATGGAGGCATTAACTATAAATACAGCAATACATAACTGAGTAAAGAAAATTAGGCAATTCAGTGCTTACGTATAATAAACTTCAGATAGAATGTTTTTATCATTACATTACTCATGCAAATTCATTATTGATCGGATTATTGTTTGACTAATGACGACTGGAAATAATGGAACTGATATACTAAGAACTCCTAGAATAATTCCATTTAAGCCAGATAGAACTCCATGAGTACTAATGAACGTATCATATCTGGAATCCATAATAAGTGCGGAATAATGCAAAAAGAAATCACTGCATACAGGTATAACACTGACATACTGATAAAATGTTATTTTTTATACGGTAAAAAATACTTGTTTTTTACTGAATGAAAATTGCACGTATTATTAACTTATTCGCCTTTTGAATAAAAACATTACAAATCTTGAGATTGCTCATCCTTTTGTTATCGAGTTCTACTTCACTAATGAGATAACTAACCGAAACTGTGCTGTCAAAATCAATGCTAGTAAGATTTTTGCTAAATTGTCTCAGTTGTAAACTTAAGGAAAACTACCCAAGTATAGAGAATCTCACGCCAGCAATTGTATCTTTATTTGTCGTGGTGATGAATACTCTTGAATTTAAGACAATGAAATACGACATTAACACGATTTTAGCAAAAATTATCAAATGGGAGGCTCTGTTACGCAACAAGAATATAAGTAGGATATGGATTAAAAAGCAGAACTGATTTCCACTACATTTAGACTTAAACAGTCCTATTTTTATTTTTTCAGTCATATTTACATATTGCGGCTATTCAGAACGAGCTGTCCACATTGCCATATGAATGGCTAAGGACGACTTTAAATCTCTGGTTCATATACAATTTCACACCAGATATTTTATTACAAATCCCAAATTTGTTATACTGGCATACAATTTTTTACTGTTAGTCCAAGCTTCTTTCATTCAATAAGGAAAGATTTTGATTGAATACAGTTCAATAATTGCGGAGTACTAATTATTTTATTATTTGATTCCAGGCAACTGTCATCTGAGAATTTATCACAGATGAAAAACGAACGAGTCAAAATCCTACTATAATATCATTTATTCTGATCATGAATACTTGAACTTTGCAGGAAAAACAGAGAGTTTAGTGGTTTTAGAGGACAAAACACGATATATAACGACTACAATAAATTGGAATTAATGGTTTCTTTTAGGTTAATTACGATTACTATAAAACACAAGTCGTTATTGAATGAAAGTAGGTGTGAGTTTAAGAGTTAAATGAAACAATCTGTCAATATTGCATAACTTACATCTATTTAGTTAGACAGAAAAACTACCATTTGAAAACTTCTACATATATAGGCAATCAATAAACAAATTGGAGAAAGGCTTTTGTATTTAAACCACATTAAGTATTACGGGAAAAATTGAAATAAACCAATAATTAGGAGAACATGCATAATTTCGAGTAAAACTTCAACTAATTTCTAGATACAGCGAAGATAATACACAAATAAAGATGAAGTTAATCGAAAAAGGAAGCAAAGCAACATTATACCAACTCGTATGGTCAGAAATTAAGAAGTACAGTGAATTTTGGAGTATACAAAACGTCTAACACATACTATCAACCTTTTTTTCTGTAGAACTGTACTTAATACAGTGTTTATGTTGAAATTGATATTGCCTAAGAAAAATAGACCTTAGGCGCTGATCAAACAATTTAAAATTTGGGTAAAAAAGAACCTAATTTTGAGGATTATGAATATGTAGAAACGTTCACAACCGATCAGTGCTGAAAAAATATACTAAAAGTAAAATTCACGACAGAATTAGCCACATTGCACTTATTATCATGTAAACAACGATACTGAAAATGATTGCAAAATTTCAATGATATTTTTACAGTTCGACACTTAGGATATTAACCCCATATTAAATCAGATTTTACTAATATTATTCACTTCTCAATAAGAATGAAATGATCAAATGTGAAAGTAAATTTTTAGACAAAATGTTTATTTTATTCTTCAAACTGCTGGTTGTAGTCCCAAATGTTGAAGTTGTGCACGTAAATTAACTCGCTGATCATTCAACTCAGCAAGTTCACCTTGCATTTCATTATTTAAACGAAGTAAGGTATGATTGACCGATTTGGCTTCCCGAATAAGTGAAGACAAAAGACGACGTCGACGACTACTAGATAATTCAGATAAAAACGTTTTTCGATGGCCAGTGACTGCAGATAGTAATTGGATCGGATCAATATATCTAATTAGAAGATGAAGGAGGAAGTTAATCGTAATAGAGAGGTTAAGAAGAAACGGTTTTTAAAATGGGACTTTAAATTATGTATGGGAAAAATTCTATGTGTGAGATGGGATATTTGGTATTATGTTTGTAAAGAATACAGATTATTTGGTCATTTATCCAAAAAAACAATATATGCTTAAACCATACCATTCAACAATCTCCACAGGGACATACGCTTATATCATTAAGGGTCACTGCTGTTTTGTTGTTAATCAATTTCTGTTCCCATATATGAATCTTTCAGCGAAAAGTTTCGACATAGCTCTTAGAAGGATACTAGACTCGAGTCTCAGTCTAAACGTTAACACTAAGATGCATGTACATCCATCTGACGAGTAACAAACAAGAGTAGACGTGAGTCCTGGATTTCAGTTATGACCACATACCAAATATCTAAAAAGGCAAACACTGTTCAGAACTAAAAAATATAATATTTAGCATAAATGTGTATCAATAAAATGTGAACCTATGGCTCGAATCCATATGTTGATTACACTTGAACAATAGAAAAGGAATCAGAAACATAAGATTCTTAAGTTTAAACACGCGATTTTTATATTACAGCCCACATTTTTTAAAGAAGCGGGTAATAAATTGTTATTACACGAAAATATAAGGGATTGTAAACGTCCTTAGCTAACTCAAAAGAGTATTAATCAAATAACAGGAGTTCCACTTAACAAATGAGGAAATGTAACATATCGGTCAGCTAATAAGTGAGAGGTGCCCCCAAATGCCTTGGTACGGCCGAGAGTGGGGAGAGTCAGCTCTCCCTCTCAAAATGCTCTCACATTGCCACGTGCATACAACCACTGCCAGGGAAGTCCTACTCACTGCCTTCTCATGGCAGGGGTGATTTTTACGAAATTGAGAGGACGAAAAGCGAATATCCGGCGCTTTGACCGGGTTGATAAATACGGATGATCCACCTAGAGGAGTTGGAAAAACCTGATTCCAAACCAATGGTGCACATGGGCTTCACTATCCTGAAGAAACAAATGGCGTATGAACCAATCGTTGGTCACTGGCTACCATGTGACTGCGTCTCCCCATGATGCTCCACTGCCTTGTAGATCAGATCTTCAGGTCAACGGCTCGGGGTGTGGCCCCCTAAGAACACCACCTGCTTCGGTTTGGACACCCGGGCAGTATCACAGCCCTCACACAAATCAAATAGTGAAGTGTGGTGCATATCTCTTTGGTGCCTTCTTGTACCAATATATATGTCTTCAAATAATAATAATAATAATAAGTGAGAGGAGCTGACGACCACACGCTATTGATTAGGATTAGGTTTAACTCACTCAGGAAAGACATAGACTATTAAATTGACAATGTAGTTTGACTTCCTGAGGGGTACGTATGTACATTTATGAATAGGTTGTCCATAGATTTTTTATTCGGGTTAGCCAATGAAAGCTCCTGTAATCTTCTCACTCCAGTGAATGGTTGGGATCGCATATAAGATTCAGAGCCAGTTATTCTGTGGACTCTGAAAATTGCTGGATAGTTTTCAATATATATGAAGATGATATCAGCATAGTAATGGCAGCTCAATTCAGTATAAATGAGATCCAAAGGCTACAGCTCTGTTTACAATTTTTTTAACAGTTTAGAACACTAAACACGTTGAATCGGCGGTACAGCATTTCACAGAGCAATCTACAAAAATTTCACTTGTAAACTAATATATTTATTAATGTATTTCCACAAAGTAGATTAAACACTGTAGATCAGCATAGCCGGGGTTGGTTTTCCTCTACTCAATAACTATAAGAAAGTTTTGTTCTGTTAGAAAGCATTGTAAAGGAAAAAATTATATTCTAATAATAAGTTCTTCATTATATATCTGGTATATATGAATATTAACCAGGATTTGAACGAACAGTTTTGGTCCATGTTGAGTATTTGATACTTTTAATTGCAAAGAATGACTATTAACTAGATCACAACCTCACTTCAACCACGATTAACTCAAAGTGGGAAAATATCAGAATTTTCTATTATAAACAGTAGTTATTAAGAGAACTACTAAGTATGGAAAATTAAAATATCCTTTTTCAACAAACAACTAAGATGATAAGACACAGATATTCAAGATATCAAAAATACGGACAAACAGTTAATAATAATAATAATAATAATAATAATAATAATAATAATAATAATAATAATAATAATAATAATAATAATAGTGAACCGTGTCATCTTACGGGTTATTTGTACTAGTCTTTTCACTTGATAAATGCACTGAATCAACAGAACCACTAATTTCAGACGACGAAAATGGTGATGCAGATAAGCGTGAGGAGGATGGATTGGAGGATGAAGATGATGTCGAAGAGGAAGAGGAACTACCAACAATTCCAGTTGAAGATGAAGACTTACTATAACTATCACAACTAACAACAGGACAGTGTGACAAATTTTCAAATGAATTATAATATAAACTTTTAGAATTAGTCTCAGAAAAACCAAAGGCAGAATCCATATTCAAGGAACAAGAATCATCAAAAACAATTGGGTTTCTTTTATTAAAAATGTCTATCGCAGAGTGTTGTTTCAGCAATGGATTATTTATTGAATTATATTTTGAACCATTGTTCAGTAAACCAGTGGCGCATAAATATTCTAGGTGAGGAAGGTCGAATTGATTACCTTTTATAAATTGAAAATAAGTTTACGTTGAAATGGAGGATAAAATTAAAGCAATTGTCAAATATATTACAGAATAATAAACTGGAAAGTAAAATAGCCTTTTAATTTTTGCTTTCTAAGCAAAATTATCTGTCCTTGTAACTTTTGTATACCGACGAAAGATCTAGTATATCCATTCAGTCATAATCAATGTGCGACCTTTTGTAAAAGCGGATCTGGTCAAGTTGCCAAACTAAATCAACACAATAAGATGAAATTCTCACATTAACCAACATTTTTCATCGAGTTAGGCAGTAGTTGGACAAGCATTAACTACCCCAGTCGATGAAGATTCATATCCTCATCAACCAACGTCTGATCTTTACCAAGTACTCCACATCTAACCTCGTCACTGCTTACTTTGCAGTTCCGCCAAACAAGAGGAAAACTTTGAAGACACTTGCGACCACATGCTCGCAGTTTGTGTATGTTTGAAACCTTCGTAGACCATTTTACATTTGAGTTTCTTCTGATCAAACTAAATAGCTAACAAACGTTAATTAGTATGAAAGCAGCTGAAACATCAGAGTAAAATCATTGTACAAAAAAACTAACGAGAAGTGGCTCAGTGGTTAAAGGCTTCGACATTCAACCAATAATCAGTTGCAGACTCAAACTCACCCTTGCCGTCATTACATGAACCATCATATAAGGATATTCAAAGTAACCAATTCTCAATCCATTTTAACCACCTGAAGGATACCATAAAATTGCTTTGTTACTTTAATTATTATCAGTACTGATACCAGAAATTAATAAAACTATTTCTTATTCTTCTTTCATAGTTACTTTACAATTCCTAATGGCTATAAAATGAGTTAGCCCATATTCGGATTGGAATTTGTCACTTCATGAGATTCGTCCTACAGTAGTCTGGCAAACTTATATTAATGGTGTTATACGTATGCAAATTTTAGTGCCATTGAAACGAAAATTATATTCCACGTTTTTGTTTGGAAGTGACAGAGTAATTGTGATTCCAATAAATACTGCGAACAACACATCCAGTTAACTATTATTTGTCACACCATGTACATGAAAATGATAGAGAGAATGTTCAACAATCATAGTAGTCTCATCAAAGGTAATACTTATCAGTAATCTTACGACATTTCATGTTTATCATATGAATTGTGAAATATACTGATAGTGTTTTATTTATTTATTTATTTGAACACATACATATTGGTACAAGAGTGCGCCAAATATATATGCGCCACACAAAACAATGAGAATTTAAAGAGAAGAAAAAGAAAAAAAGGTAAGGAGGGTAAAAAAAGAACAATAAGGAAGAGATTGGTGTAAGGTAGTGTAATAATAATAGTGGTAATAATGGGAGAACGGAAAGGTACAATCAGAAGAAACCTTTCAGTTAAGGAAGATACAACCACGTTTTATGAAGAAAGTAAAATAAGGTTACAGCAGGATCGCCACTGGCTTCTATTCTGAGTCATATCTGATAACGTCTCGAGCCACTGTGTTGTACCATCTCTCGGACCCCAACCAGGGAGTCGTGAAGGACCAACAGAAGCCAGCCGTTTGCAGCTTCTTTTCATCCCACGACACCATGTCAAATACTGACCACCTCCCCGCTTCTTCCAACCAGTCCCAGAGTCGGCAAATAATGCACGACGTGGAATTCTCTGGGACGACATTCGGAGAACATGTCCAAGCCACCGAAGTCGGTGTTTCAAGATGGTGACACCTATTGCATTATCGTCTCTGTGACCGAACACACGATGCCGAACCTCTGCATCACTAACATGGTGTTGCCACTAGATGTCATCAATCCTTCGGAGGCAGCGATGATCGAACATAGACAGTCGTCTAACGACCTCAACTCGGAGAGACCAGGTTTCATAAGCATAGAGCAAAACTGCTCTCACCGACGCGTTGTAAATCCGACCTTTCACAGCCAGACTAATATCACGAAGGCGCCAAAGGTGGCCCAGATTAGCATAAGCCGCTCTGGCTTTCACTATTCGTGCATTGATCTCATCACTCACACCCCCACCAGCACTTATGCAGCTACCCAGATACACGAACTTCTATTTGCTTACCATCCAGGGTACAGGAGTAGAATCCTGCCAGTCTTGTAGAAGTACTTCGCACTTCGAAGGTGCAAAGCACATACCATACCTACGGACACTGATTGCCAACTGATTAAGTGCGGATTGCATGGCCTGGGCATTATCGCACAGTAAGACAATATCGTCCGCATACTCAAGGTCGAGAAGTCTTTCTCCAGGCAACAGATCCACACCACCATTACTTACATTCATCAGAGCTGTTTCCAGGATGTCATCGATCGCAAAGTTGAAGAGGAATGGTGAGATTGGGCAACCCTGCCTAACCCCACTGCTCGAATGGAACAATGGAGAGAGGTGGTTGTATGCCCTCACTCTGCCTGAGGTGTTTGTATATAGGGCTTTCAGGATGTTAATAAACTTCTCAGGCACACCCTTCTTCAATAGACAATCCCAGAGAACAGTCCTATCCAACGAATCGAAGGCAGCCCTGATGTCAAGAAACACTACGATTGTTGGCCTTTGATAAGTATGGCGGTGTTCTAACATTTGGCGTAGGGTGAAGATGTGATCAATACATCCTCGACCAGAACGAAACCCAGCCTGCTCCTCGCGAGTCAATCTTCCTTGGGTTTTTGAACAACCTACGAAGTATGATGCAAGCCAACAGCTTGGATGCAATCGGAAGTAAACTTATCCCCTGATAGTTGTTACAGGAACGACGTGAACCCATTTTAAAGATAGGGACAACTATCGACTCATTCCATGACGTTGGTACACTCTCTAGCTCCCAAACCTTGGTAAACAACACAGTCAGTTCTTTAGTCAGAAAGTCACCACCATCTTTAAAAAGAGCCGGAGGTAAGTCATCTGGACCCGGTGGTTTGTAGCGCCTCAAGAGTTGGAGTTCCTTGAGGACTTCCGCTTCATTTGGTGGATCAGTCGTCACTGGCCATGGAGGGCAGGACAGTCTGACCGATGTTGCCGGAGCAGCAGGCCAGTTGAACTGCCCTTCGAAAAATTCAACCCATCGTCCAAGACGTCGATGGATGTTAGTGATTGGTGTTCCGTCATCCTCGCAGATTGCTTCGCTCACACCAGACTTCTTGCTGCCAGTGGCTCGGATGAGTTGGAAGAGCTTCCGGTAATTACCAGATGCAGCTGTTGCTTCCAGCTCATTAGCACGCTTCGACCACCAGGCTTCTCGGTCCTTACGCAAGCTTTGCCCAATTTCACCACGTAACATCCTTCGTTTGTGGTCAAACTCACGGTCACACGGAGTAGACCGACGGGCTTCAATGTGTTGTAAGGAGCCTGAAGAAACCCAGTGCTTATAAGCGGGACGTTTCGCGAACCCACAACTGACCGTACCCGCCATTTTCATGGCGTCATGCAATTGCAACCAATGCTCATCTATACTTTTTGGTGGAATGGTGGCCAGCCCAGAAGCTAGCTCGATTCGATACTTATTAACAACAGGAGTTACAACCAGCTTGCTAAAATCAATCCGTTGGTGGCGGTCATTTCGTTGGCTACTGAAAAGTAAGGTAAGATTGGCGCAGACCAAGGCATGTTCAGAGTCCAGATAGGTACTCCAAAAGGAGTGGCAGTCTTGTACACAACTATGCCAGCGGTAGCTGATCGCGATGTGATCAATCTGAGTCCAGGCTTAATATTCAGAGGGAGGACGCCAGGTGGCACATCGGCGATGACTGTGCCGAAAGTTAGTGCTAACCAGAAACAGGTTGTGGTCTGTGCACAGTTGCAGTAGACGGTCCCCGTCATCTGTCCTGCGACCAACAAGTCCCCATTGGCCACCTAAACGACTCTCTTCTGTGCCTAGACGCCCGACCTGAGCATTCAAGTCTCCGGCTACTAATACAATATCTGTCGGACGCACTTTCTGGAGAAGAACAGATAACTGGTGGTAAAACTCACCCTTGATTGCATCCGGGCTGCAATCTGTTGGGGCATAGGCGGAGATGACGAAAAGACATTGTTTCTCACTCCGATTTCTTCTCAATTTGATGGAACTCTCTGCTCTAACAGCACAAAACTGACTGTTAATGGGGATCCAATCGATTAGTGCTGCCTCAGCTCTAGCGCCTAGTGTAACACCAACGCCAGCAAGACCAGACGAAGATGCCACAAGGTCCCCGGATAAGCGCACGTAAAACAAGCTTTTTGAAGCGACAGGTGGAGAGCGAATTTGTAGTACTTCACCAGAGTCTTGAATGCGGGTCTCGGATAGACAGCAGACATCGATATTAAGACTTTCCAAAGACATAGCCAGCCCTATCTGTTGTCCAACCTGCATAAGTGTGCGAAGGTTGAAGGCAGCCAGTTTGAATGATGCACGTGGTTTCATTAAAACTGCTTTAGTACTCATATTCGGTGGTAACATACAATTTTCAACCAGGCAGTGACTCGAGAACATTTAGATACAGTCGAATTTCCGCCAAAGACGAGCCGCTGTATAAGTATAAAAGAGGGCGAATAATGTGGTAAATAATAATAATAATTTGATTGTTAGTTGAAGCAAGTAAAGTAGTTTCCATAATTATAGGCAGTTCATCATATTTGTGTGTGGGCTGTGATACTGCCCGGGTGCCCAGACCGAAGCAGGTGGTGTTCTTAGGGGGCCACACCCCGAGCCTTTGACCTAAAGGTCTAACCCACAAGGCAGTGGAGCATCGTGAGGAGATGCAGTCCCATGGTAGCCGGTGACCAACGATTGGTTCATACGCCATTTGTTCCCGCAGGATACTGGAGCCCATGTGCACCATTAGTTTGGGATCCGGTTAAAGCGCCGGACATTCGCTTTTCGTCCTCTCATTTTTGTAAACAACTATAATGCTACGAGAAGGCAGTGAGTAGGACTTCCCTGGCAGAGGCTATATACGCGTGGCCATGTGAGAGCATTTCGAGGAGAGCGGACTCTCCTCACTCTCGGTCATACCCGATCCCCATCATATTAAATGATAAATATATGAACGAAGAATATTGTTTTTGATAAATTCTACAATTATATATTCAAATTGATAATCTGAAAAGTATCCAAGTCTAGGGCACACTGCATTGTTCAAAGTTATAACATGTGAATTTAGGATTGTTAAACAATATAGAATTGGTAATGTTGATATGATTCATGGAATGTTAACTTGAATGAACTTATATGTTAAGTGAGATTTTACGATTCATGATCCGAATAAATATGGGTGAGATAGGATGAGAGAAATAATGGTGCAATTACGAATTCGATCAAATGTTTAGTGGAAGACTACAATTTGTAAAAACTTGGTAAGGCGTAATAAAGTGGGATGAATACGAAGTAAATGAATTATGTATTCGGCAGACTAATAATGATGTTAAACTAATACTAATAGTAATATAAAGATATGTGAATAAAGATATAAGAGACGATTATATTTTATCAGAATGGGGGTTTGTAGAGATTGTAATAATTTTAATGTTTGAATTCATGAGTCGATCTAAGTTAGACTACCAGTGAAAACCTCGAAGCACTGGACGGCCATTTCTACCTGGTACAAGACTCCCCAACAGTATTCATCCGCGATCCCGCGTGCGGGATTCGGATCCACCTTCGGTCTCACGCGTGGACGCTTAACCTCTAGACCATTGAGCCGGCATCCCAACGGTGTCAGTGTCTAACTTCAATCGATCCATGATCTCGAGCAACCCTCTATCCATTGTCTGAGGTGGATACCCGTCTCTCCCCGAAATGGATTGAACTCCCCTGGTCACGGCTTCTCATATTTATTCGGATCATGAATCGTAAAATCTCACTTAACGTATAAGTTCATTCAAGTTAATATTCCATGAATCATATCAACATTACCAATTCTATATTGTTTAACAATCCTAAATTCACATGTTATAACTTTGAACGATGCAGTGTGCCCTAGACCTGGATACTTTTCAAACTATCAATTTGGATATATAATTGTAGAACTTGAAGAGAATTTATCAAAAACAATATTCTTCGTTCATGTATTAATCTTTCAAATATACTGATCATGAAATTCCCATAGAAAAAGCAAATAGTCGTTACAAGCATACCTTTGGCTTCAGACTTCCTTAACCTTCTAATAATTTTACTGATATAAGGTTTGCAAGCACTAACGGCATCATCCAATGATAAACCACGATGACCAAGCAAATGTGCTAAATGACTGGCTAAACAAAATTCAGCTTTATCTAAATAATTGTCCCGATTGATATCAGCAGTTAACCTAATTAAAAAGTATGAGCGTACAAACAAAAAAGTATCAGTTATACGTCGATAAATAAACAAGTTTTAACAATGACCAAAATGCTCTATGTAAGTTCCGTCGTATTTGAAATTTTTTTTCTCTTTCAAAAATCGATCTGATGAGCAGTAGGAAACAGTTAAGACAGATTATGTTGTATGAAGAAAAGCTTGATGAATTTTGATCTAAACGACGAATATCTTGATGTCTTTGAGGATGGGGTTGGGACACATCAAAAGTTTGAGGAACGCGATATTTCCGATGAAACTCCAGTTTATTATTCATTACCACAAATAACAAAATGTCATTCACTATTTGTAAGAGGTATCTGGTGCTAACATGATTTATTATTTGTTGTCGTACATCACTGAACTATTATTTTAATCTTACCTCCTATCGTCACGAGAATACTCCAACTATAGTTCGCACTGACAATCAGGGTAGATACTTAATATTACTTGGAATTGATCCAGTTACATATATCCATATGCTAGTAATCATGGAAATTCAGAATTAGCATATTAGCAGAATGAGATAAGATTATAACGACAGGTGTCAGAGTAGTGGAAGTAATAACAGTATCAGTAGTAGTAAAAATATTAGGTATCTAGAGAGAAAAAAGGGAGGAGGAAAATTCCCGAGCTCAGTATCTGACGGAATACAAAGGGTGAATGCACATGAGTCATTCCGAATGACCCTGAACTGTCACTCAGTCTCCAAACACCGGTTGATCAGTCGTAATATAGAACCTGGTACGTATGTATATCGATTCAAGTTGCTATACACAATCAGCACAAAGAATTAAGATTGTTAGGCCAAATCCAAGAACGGTAGGAGCGAAATGAACGACACTTGAGTGGGGACAACCATTTTATTATTTCAAAGAAAATTACGAAATATTTTCGTAAAATATGAGGACCATACATTAAATGCTTCATTTGCAAATCTTCCATCAATTTTCCTGTACATTCTGTCAGATTCTTCAAATCCACAATTCCTTTCTCTTTCCCCTTCTGTTTTCTTCAATTTGATTCTCTTAGCATTCTGTTACTAGTCATTTAACCTTGGATTGATGCTATATACTACTTACGTCTGTCAAAATAAATGGCATACACCACAGAGATGACAACAGTACTAGTGGCGGTTGAGAAGACCAGGCATCAAAGAAACGACTCAAGAAAATATAAATTAGCGAAGGATTCAGAAACTAAGAGAGATAATGAATCCGTCTGAGCCATTGCAAACGATTTTCAGCCACTCTAAGTCACTAACCATTGATTTTTACTACTCATCTATTTAAACACATAAACATTGGTACAAGGAGGCACCAAAGAGATATGCACCACACTTCACTATTTGATTTGTGTGAGGGCTGTGATACTGCCCGGGTGTCCAAACCGAAGCAGGTGGTGTTCTTAGGGGGCCACACCCCGAGCCGTTGACCTGAAGATCTGATCTACAAGGCAGTGGAGCATCATGGGGAGACGCAGTCACATGGTAGCCAGTGACCAACGATTGGTTCATACGCCATTTGTTTCTTCAGGATAGTGAAGCCCATGTGCACCATTGGTTTGGAATCAGGTTTTTCCAACTCCTCTAGGTGGATCATCCGTATTCATCAACACGGTTACAGCGCCGGACATTCGCTTATGAAAAACACGCGGACACCAACAGGGTGGTCCCCACCTACTTATAGGGCTCAGTTCAATTGTCAACGACGTCATGAACTGATGCCAACCTTTGGTTTGACCGCCCCTAGCTTTCTTCTAGACGAAGTACAGACTTATGTGTTAGGCTCTAACCCACATTTTATGTGTAGCAAATAGTAATACTAGCCAGCTTTTTTTAAGACGAAGTATGTGTTGTGGTGATCGAATTCGCAACCAAATAGTTAAGAGTCGAGTTTGTTAACCACTAAAATAATGATTGATGCTTTGCCAAATAGTAATTCCAGATCCTACATTCCCTATCCTGATTAGGGCGCACGATTTCCACATCTAGTTCTTAATTGGAAAGTACCTAAAAGCCTAGTGCGGAAACCTTTACTTAGCTATTGAGGAGCAACAATTAATTATTTATTACAAATAAGCCAAACGTTCTTTTCTTCGAGATTTCGAATCAGATAAAAAACACTGCTTACCAAATATTGTCAAAATCAACTGACGAGATTCTATATTGAGCTGTAAATAATTGCGTTACTTCCGAGCGTGTTACTAACAAATGGCAATTAGTAACAAGGTTATCAATGTCTTTTGAAATAAAGAACTCATCAAACTGTGATGCGTATTCAGCTTCTCTCTTTGATTGTAATGCGAATGATGATAACCATTTAAGATGTTTTTCTCTACGTTTTTCATTTCGATTACAATAAGTGTTATTATATTGTGAGAATGGGAATGAAGAGCTACGATAGTGTGATACTTTCCATTTGTTAACTTCAGATTTTTGGTCACTATTCAGTGAAAACTGATATTTGTTCTGAGAATTTGTACGTTGAGAATCAGTGTTCTGTAAAGCTTGAAAAGTTATTGGAAAAATACGTAATTTTGATGAAGTACTCGGTATCAAAAATGTGGAAAACGAAAATTCTCGTATTAAAAGTTGAAGTAAGCAACAAAATGGTATGTCAGAATGAGTTTTGTGGAGATTTTTAGGAAATTTCACAGGTTGAAATCATGAGTCTGATAATAATCAACTGCTCACTAGTGACTGACTTCAGGAGAACCTCCTGGAGTTCTAGTGAGAAGCCGTCACCAGTGGAGTTCAACCAGGTCTGTTGTGAGATATCAGCTCACTGAAGACAATGGTGTTCGGTGGCGCAACTTCGTGGATTGGTTGAAGTTAGACATTAACACCGTTGGATGCCGGCTCAGTGGTCTAATGGTTAAGTGCTCGCGCGCGAAGCCAGTAGGTCCTGGGTTCGAATCCCGCGGGGGCGGGCTCGTGGATGCGCACTGCTGAGGAGTCTCGTAGTAGAACGAAGCGGCCATCCAGTGCTTCTGGGTTTCCTATGGTGGTCTAGCTTCAACTGACTCATGATTTCAACCTGTGAAAATGGTATGTACCAACTAAAAACGTTTGAAACGTGTTTGAACTGGAGCAAACTGAATTTGAATTATTGAAATAAAGGAGTTAAACACTGGTTTGTGTACGAATGTAACTGCAAAAGTAATTCAGGTCAATATGCCAGGTAATTTATCAAATTAATTATTTGGAAATGATCTATTACATCCGGAGAATACAGAGTGACGTCAGTAAAACTGTATTTAGAATATACGGAATCCAATAAGTGGTCTACGTTACTACGCCTTATATTATAACAGGTAATATTAACAAGAACGAAAAATGTTAAAACGCAAAATACAAAAAAAGAACATTAGTATTGCTCCGGTTGGTTAGTTAGTGGGATTTCAAAAATTCAATAAAATTTACACAAAGAGATTATACCCAACTTTGATGATTACAATAATGTTTGACGATTTGTTCATACATTTTTCTTGTGCGTTGGTAAATGTGAATAAAAAGTCTTTTATTTCTATTCATCCTACTTCAATAGTGTCGACTAATAATTCCTACTATATATGACTTTCAAACGTACTACTGTGGCTTGTAACATTCTGTATGATTGTAGTTACACGTATCGAATCACAGTTCTAATCTTCTATTACCCCGTTTTGAACTTTTACGATGAATTATACAGATAGATTTAGTTTCATTTTACGATTATATGTTACTCATATTCCCAGTTACTTTGGATATTTCTCTACCAATTTGTTGCATTTTATGGGAGGATCGCATTCATTTTCTGTATATATTTTAGTGGTTGTATGGACCTGAAAACCGAAAACAGTATAAAGTCTATAAGATTATTTTAAGGGTTCTGTTAAATCATGATTTCATACATCGTCAGAAGAGGTGATCAACAATGTGCCTTAGACAGTCTCAATCACCGAGTGCACGAATTACTCAGTTTATAAGTTACAAGTACGCAATTTTATCATTATACTTCATTAACCTATCTGTAGAATAGATCGTACCATATTTTAGTACTCAGCAGGGCGTTCATAAAACTACAATATGTCTCAGTGATGACTAAAATCAGTTACTAAAATACATAAAATACTTTACACATCATTTTGTCACTTCAGATAATTGAGTTGAACAGCTCCCTTAAGTATACTTTTTTTCTTAACGAAGGGTTAGTGAAGACCAGTGCTGTTAACGATATTTCAGACAGATTAAAAAACAGTCTATGATAATAAGCAGTTGGACAAAGCAAAAGTTGATAGTTCGTCTGAAATATGTACTTGCGGATCTAAATTCTGATTGCCTCTACACCACGATTACGGTGATTGGCATAAAACTACAACATATTCAAGGCACTGATGTGTAGTGTTTACAGTCAAACCACAGATTTTTAGCGTGTAGTATTCAAAATCACATAATGTACTCTGGAGGGAATTAATTTTGGCATGGATTAATAGTATATGTTTGAGAGTAGCGTATAAACCATCACGCCGAATTGTAGTTGGGAATAGCTACAGTACGACAAAGATAAAGTTTACTCGATGTAAAGAGGTAAATATTAAAAAGAAGTATGACATTAAGGAACAACCAGTTACATTAATTTCGGAAGAAAATTATTAGAAACAAATGGAAAAGATAAATTGCAATACATTACACAGGGAAATGATAAAACGAATGAAAGTTGAAGTCACTGAATCACTGACCACGTAGAGGTTTTGTACACGACTTCGATTTCTACTTTTTGTGTGGGTGATATTGATACTACTTGACTTCCTAAACTGAAGTAGTTTGGGGGAAGGCTTGAACTTGGGGCGCAATGGTTGAAAGTTGAATGTTTCAGTCTCTAAGCCACCGTTCTCAACGACAGTGCTTTGGAAGAATTGGGTTGGGTCTGATTTATAATGGCATAATGGAATACATTACTTCAAACTAATAGTAGGTATGTAAGTAGCAGAATAATAAATATTCCATAGAATTTGAAACGAGAAGTAAAAACAATAAAAGGTTTTTATCAAAGTCAAAACCAGGTTAAATGAAGAACAACGAGTTACAAACTAATTAAACGTAAACTAATAACACGTATGATTTAGGGTTTGTATTCAACTCAGGTGTTATTAACACAGAAATTCGAATGTCAACCTCAACAATATCAACTTACAATGATCTGTAGAACTCCCTTTTAGTTGAATTCCACTAAGTTGATCCGATGAGTGATCGGGTAAATCTCGATAACTCCATACACTGGCATCATGTAATTTCTTGATGTTTTTACACTCTTCAATAGTGCTAGCAAAATAAGTAGACGAGTTAGAGTCCTGAGAAGTAACAGTACCAGAAGATCGGGACGATGAGTAACCGGTGTTTAAATGTACGCCTTTCCGGAATGACTTGTCTGGAATCCACCAATCAGAATTTCCGGGAGTTTTGTTTTCGTTATCGTAGGAGACAGAATTATCAGGTTTGATAGTTTCCTCCGTTAAAAGACCTGAAAAAAGACACGTAGAACAAATTCTAACAGAAATAGAACAGCCATAGACAAAAACTATAAGATTCAGATAAATTAAGTTTCAGATACTAGAGTTGTTAAATAACTTCACTGAAATTCAGACATTTTGGCATCCCGATGGTTGTCCTAAAACCTACAATAAACCGATAGGTCGAGCGGTTGGTCAGAACTTATCATTATGATACATGGATGCAACATTATCACAGAGTATGTGTTGCTCAGTATAACGCGGTGGTATCTACATGCATGTAAGCAAGAATGTTTGACAAAATAAAACTCTACTGAAATAAGATAACAGCATAACAATAGGAACGTACTTTGTTTTATTTAGAGTTCGTAATTTGGGTGGCTCATTAAAAATGCTAAAAGCTCCACTTAAATTCGAATCCACGAAATATTCGTCTATGCCATTCACTAAAATATAACTAGTCCTACGAAGGCGAGAGCAAGTATGTAGTGTAGCTTACATCGGCGTCCTGGTCGATATCCTAAGTCACCTACCTTTGGAGTGTACACTTACTGCCATAAGTTTTCTTGCTTTATATTTGTTTTGTTGATGATTATACATGGTAACTATATATACTCAAAGGATTTCCTTAATATATACAACTTATAGCGGACCACACTACTCAGAAATTCAAGGGGAACCACCGGCGTCTACTAATCTATCCTTTAGAGAAAGAAAAGGGAACCACCATGACGATCCTAACACCAAATATAATGTACAACGAAAAGTGATGCCATGGAAACAAGACTGGTCGTAAACATTTGTGGATGAATCAGTCTAGAAGCTTCATATATATATATATATATATATATATATATATATATATATATATATAGTATTTAGGAGCTGAAAATAAAACGAGTTCTCATAATGTTGCATACTATGTGCTGAGGATTTTTTGCCATAATTAAACATGGGATTGAATAGAGATTATCGTCACCCTATTGTCTCGCATTGTAGACTATATATTTAAGGCGCGAACATTCCAAAGTCCTGTTTTACATATGCTTTTAATTCTTGTAAGTTCATCAAGTTGATATAATATTTATTTAGTTAGACACATAAACACTGGTACAAGGAGGCACCAAAGAGATATGCACCACACTTCACTATTTGATTTGTGTGAGGGCTGTGATACTGCCCGGGTGTCCAAACCGAAGCAGGTGGTGTTCTTAGGGGGCCACACCCCGAGCCGTTGACCTGAAGATCTGATCTACAAGGCAGTGGAGCATCATGGGGAGACGCAGTCACATGGTAGCCAGTGACCAACGATTGGTTCATACGCCATTTGTTTCTTCAGGATAGTGAGGCCCAAATGCACCATTGGTTTGGAATCAGGTTTTTCCAACTCCTCTAGGTGGATCATCCGTATTTATCAACACGGTTACAGCGCCGGATATTCGCTTTTCGTCCTCTCAATTTCGTAGAAAAAACACCCTTACCATGAGAAGGCAGTGAGTAGGACTTCCCTGGCAGTGGTTGTATGCACGTGGCAATGTGAGAGCATTTTGAGAGGAAGAGCTGACTCTCCCCACTCTCGGGCGTACCAGGGCATTTGGGGACAGTTGGTACAATAAGAGAAATGTTTAAAATTTGTATGCAAAACGATTGTAGTCTTTTTCATTTATCAAAATGAGGGTTTGTGAAGATTGTAGTAATTTTGTTAGTTGAATTCACGAGTCCATCTAAGGTAGACCAGCGTTTCGTACTATACTACGAAGAAATGGTCCTCTATTGGTCCCACGTTTTCAATGGTGGTCTAGCTTAGGTCTTTTTTCATTTATCCACTAGCGCTGGTAGGCTGAAAATCGGGCGACATAATAGGCTCCAACATAATTTTGTATGGAATATGATCTAATCTGACCTGAATCCTGCTAATAAAATCCCTAGATGTCAATACAATAAGCAAGAAAACGTTTTTCCTAGATTGGGATATATTGGTTTTACAAAGTCTGATATGCTGAAACCCTAGGAGGTGGAGTGTAGCTTCTAGCGATGACCTGCTGGTTGAAAGTACAGTGCTTCATACATATGCAATCACGGTATTGCAAAATAACTTTATTAGTATTCAGTTTAGTTTGAATGAATGTAATTAGCCAACTCCTGGAAATTAACAAATAATTGGAATTATATAAAAAAAATTATCGATCATCTGGGAACATAAATTCTTATGCAGGAAGAACCTTTACAGCAATCGGCAGTTTATAAGCTTTTCACTGATACTGTTACTAGCTCTACAGACGTAGTTTATCCAGATTATTCCATCTCTCTGGGCTGATATGATGTAGTAACTTCAACTGATGGACATAATTGCCAAGTTATATCTTGTATATGACCGTGTCACTGACTGCGATTCATAAGGGGTGGATGAAGAATTTCTATCAACAGTAAGTTAAGAAGATATTTCCACCAATCCCAAGTAAATTAATTGTTTTTAGTTTATATAGGTAACCTTTCAAGACCGAGACAGTAGATACACCTAATTTGTTCCTCCAAGATTCAGGTTACTTATACTTTATGATTATTGTGATATCGTGTGTACAAAGATGGAAAGAAATAATTTTACGATTCTTTGAAATCAGTAAACGACCGTGAAGCCTTACGAAAACTTGTTTGGAAAGATGGGGATTCTCCAACAATGGTTTAATGTTTAGGGCACTCGAATTTTAATTGTTGGCTTGGTGATTTGGACTTCAATTCCACTACTTTCGTCTAGGTAATCACGAAGTATTATTAACCTCCGTACAAAGTTTTTAGTTTAAAGTTGAACACAATAGCTTGTGATTAATCACTGATTTACATTATTGCCAAAGTACTTTAAGTAGTTGTAAAGGGTTTTGGGCATAGTAAATTTACTAGAGGGTTACTAATTATAAAATTATGTACTGACAATAATTTGATTTCTGTTAACTTGACCTTCACATTAATTCAATGTAAGTTTTATTGAAACAGTGTGATTTTCGTGACAAATTATCTACTTAATAATCAGTGGTCAAATCCCTGCATAAATGAATGTATTCGGACGATTACTTTCTCTTCTTGGATTTCTATCAGTGAATTTTTCGAACAAACTTAGATTTTAATCTCGATTTAATGAACAAGGAGTTTCATTTATTTTCACTGAAGTCAGGGCTTGTGGTTATTAGCTTAGTGGGAAGACATATCAGTTTTCTTTAATTTTTAGCGGACGTAAAGTGGTATTTTGACATATCAGTAAATAGGCTTCCACGCTCCTTAATTGAAAATAAAGTCAGATTGTTCTTTTCAACTGAGCTATTACAAGTAGACCAACAAAAACGATAAGACTACGAAAATTAAGAATCAGAGTCGTAGACAATAAGACATTACTAGACACCACAAAGATACTTTAAAAGTAGTCATAATATTTAAAGTTATAGTCTTGATAATTGATCGTTATGAAACTGATTTGAGTTCATACATGAGCGACAAACACAATATGAAATAGCAAAACTCCGAATAATCTGACGGATTGCCTCATCTTCATGAAGACTGTAGTCGAAAATTATAGTAGGATTCACCACTAGTTCCAGTTGAGTTATATCCGGCAATAACTTAAACTATTGAGTCCCCATGTTTCTGAGACTTCGACTGGGAAGTCGTGATGAAATGATATACGTATTAAAGTCTCAACTCATAACAACGCGGTACAGTATTGAAGATCTCTCCGTTCTTACCGCCCAATCCCAGAATCGGGATATAATAAACAGTGTAAGTCTTTGAGATAACATTTGTAAGATATATATCGAAGAAATCAAAGTTAATGTTTCGAGAAGATAGTAAATGAATCGCAACCATCGCGTCCAAATACACTGTCCGACTTTGAGATTAGCAACACGGTGTTACCACGGGATATCCATCATTTACAGACGTCACGATACCAAAGACTGGCCTAATTAACATGGAATTTTTTAGCTTTTATTATACAAAGATTGACCTTAACTCCAACGCTACCACTAGCAGTCACTTAACTAGCCAAACAAAAGAATGTCCCGACTCTTTCTAATGACTTGTTATAAAGAGAAAGTGTACGGACAAGCACCTCACAGCCATCCAAAACGACTGTATTTGAGCGTACAAAGTACGTCCTGTACTTATGGTCACTAATTCTCAAATGGTTACATGCTATTCGGGTATCTTGATTATCAATACACAGTAAAAGCAATGATCACCACTGAATTACTATAGTTAGCGAAACCAAGTAACACATACTGTTACACCACCTTCAGAATTTAGATAGCAGTACAAAGACCTATACTGAAACATCATTGTAGGTAAAACATAAGCCAAAGTAGTTGATCTTTACGAGGGATCCAAAAGTTTGATTTCCTAACAAAACTGATGTTTTCATAGTGAGTTGTAAGTTTCGTTGTAGGACATCTTTATGATTTCATCCCTTACTTCTAAGTTACTGAAACAATATTCTTAAAACCGGAATTGTGGTTTGATATATTCCCTCATTGTTGGGATCTGCCGTTTGTTAATCCTAAAACCGACACTTTCATTTGCTAATTTGATGTGTCTTAAGGAGAGTCCACGTAATTACTCGATTCATCCTTTTAAATCAGATTCAGATTTGTGTATGCTACGGGTATTTTGTTCGTTCTTGGCTTTTCTACTCGCCTGCTATGTCCTCTGAGGTGTCCCGATCTAGTTGTAAGAAAGAGAGAGAATAAGTTAGGTCCGAAATCATTTCTCAGTATTCTGTACATCAAAATTAGATCTCCCCTCAGTCTGCGATAGGACAGAGTAAAGAGGTCCAGTTTTTCAAGCCGCTCTTTGTATGATAAACCCCGGAGTTCCGGAATTGCACGGGTAGCTGCCCTCTGTACTTTTTCTAGTATGTCCGAGTCACCTTTTAAGCAGGGGCTTGCAGCCTGAACGCAGTTCTCTAGCTTAGTTCTCACTGAGGATGTGTATACTGTGGTGAACATGGTAGTATCTAACTTAGTGAATGTCCTTTTTAAGGCCCAGAGGGTTCGAAACCCCTTGACTGCGACCTCCCGGCAATGGGCCGTCGTCTTAAGATCATTACTCACTATCACCCCTAGATCCTTATGAGACCGGACTAATGGTAATGACACATCCCCTATGTTGTACGTATTAACCTTTGAATCCCCCAAGTGCATACAGACATACTTTTCCGAGTTGATAGGCATCAGCCACTCTTTAGACCAGTTTATCATATTATTTAAGTCCGCCTGAAGAGTAAGTGCGTCTGTGTCTCCAGTTATTACTCGCCAAATTTTTACATCGTCAGCGTATAATAACATTGGAGACTGTACTATACTTGTAAGATCATTAACGTACATTATAAAAAGTAAAGGACCTAGGACGGAACCTTGAGGTACTCCACTAAGTATTGGTCTCCAGATAGAGCACTTGGAGTTTATTCTTACTTTTTGTCTACGACCTACTAGGAAATCTTTAATCCATTTTAAAAGACGTCCGGCAATACCAAGGTTTTCCAACTTTAATAGCAGTCTATTAGTTGGCACCTTGTCAAAAGCCTTACTGAAATCTATGTAGACAACATCCACTGAGTTTCCGTTGTCTAGCGCATTAATTCAGAACTCCCTAGCTATAAGGAAGTTTGTTGTACAGGATAGACTGTTTCTAAAACCATGTTGTGCCATGTTCAGCAAGTTATTGGTTTCCATAAATGCCATTATGGTCCGTTTGATTATTCTTTCCAGTATTTTAATTATAACACTGGTGAGACTTACGGGTCTGTAATTCGATGGAACTTGTCGTGGACCTGTTTTATGTATGGGAGTGACGATTGCGTCCTTCCAGTTCATAGGTAACATACCTTGGTTAAGTCACATATTGATTATCACAGTGAAGGACTTTCACTAACTCCAGGCTAACATTTAAGTGACTGTAATGGTTCGTCACACCACGACATAATAGGTGTTGGTTTAATTTAAACCACGGCAGAGGTACAGAAATTTCAAGGTTTATGAAAATTCAAGAAACATACTTTGCTCTTCGTCGTAACACTTGGGCCATGAAGAAAAACATGGCTCTCCTGCACCGTCTCCCGAAATGCTGTTATTTGCAGCTACCTGATTCTTTTTAAACCTAATTTTGTGACAAATACGTCCATAAGATTGCTTTTCTAAGTTAAGATAATCCCCAGCGGAGGCCTGTATTAATCATAAGACAACATAACAAAGCCACAACTTACAGGACTATGTGAAGAATGCTCCCCTGTAGACATATCATTTTCCATTAACGGCACACAGATATCACGGTATGATGGGAGGGGGAGACTTTCTCCTATAAGCATGAGCAATTAATAAATTTAAAATACTGTTTCTGATTAGCTCATTTCTAGACACCGGAATTCCACTCTGAGCGAGCGAAACGTACTTTAGTGCCGTGAAGAAATTTACCCGCCCCCACAAGCCATAGGGAGATGGATTTGATAATTGTATAATCTACAGTCTCAAAATTATTACGAGATAATTACATCGTTTATCAAGACATCTGAAATAGCAAAGCGAGACAAAAACTTCTTCACACACTCCGTTGATAGCTTCCCACTTTTTTCGACATCACAGCTATCGAAAGCACTGAAGTAGAAGTTGATTTCCGACTCCGACAACTTTAACGCTTCCATATGCCGTAACGTGACACTTAACTATTCCGCAATGCTTTTTCGGACCACTACAATCGAATGATCAATATCAAGTATCTTAATCACAAGCTTGTTATGTCAAGGTCCTAGATAGCTGGTAATGTCTAATGTGTGACAGTCTAGCTACTCGACTGAACTAATTCTAGTCTGTTTGGCAGTTGTTTGTTGATTTACACACTACGTAATGTAAGTGCATTTTTCTAATAGAAGGGTTTCTGGAGCCAGCAGCTACAACATTATTAGGTAGGAGGTTGATTGATTGCAATTTGGGGAATAATATGGAGGTCGAAGTGTTAAGAGATGATTGTTTTAGGAAATATTAAATCAATTAATCGATAATACAGACACCGTGAGAAGACAGAAACTTAAGAGTAAGTGGGAAACTGAGACAACAAAAGGAAACGTAGGAACAAGTTGATTGTTTGTCATAATGATAACAGTAAACAAATTAAGAGACAGATCGGGATGAAGATGTCACAGGTATTTGGAGTTGGACAAAGCTTTAACCAGTAACACCTAATATGAATCGTACCCACCAAGTAAAATCAAAAGACAGAAGTGAGGAGGTTGGAAGATATATTTGATAGGTCACCAATATATCGAGGATTGTCTTATTTAATCTGGCTAGCGATCGCAGGGGTTGTTGAGCACGGTGTTCCCACTCGTGATTCGGTGAGGATACATGACCGAGCGCCTTCAGCTAGGTGAGTCCATTAAAACTAATGTGGTCAGCATCCAATGTCCAAAACTTATAGAGCTATTTATATTGGGGATTTATTTACCGCTACAGGGGACAATCGTTTCAAGCGGGAGATGGTATTCTGTCAGTGAGCACTTGTTTATGAAGTCTTCTTTCGAGACCGTTTACTGAGGGGGATGTGTTCACCTCACCTGGGAAAGTACTTCGAATGGTGGCCACTCTTGATAAGAACGTATAGGAGCCAACCTGGGTTGTTGCTCTCTGATATACAATTTTCAGGAGTAACCTCGAGGAACGTGGTTGTGACGTTCTGGAAGGATGCACGTGTTTGGGTGACCTGGCATGCCTAATATATTAATGTCATAATCGAACCTCATATTATTCCCCTATTGCTCAACGAAGGTAATCTCAATCGTTTGAATATGTCTATGTAAGTTCTTCCCATGGCCCTGTCACCTACTTAGTTGCTCGTCTTTGTATTTGACGTACGAGATTTGCATATCTTAAAGAAGCGTGACATCTTAACATTGGAAACTTTAAGGTGAGGCCGCGCGTATGCTTTAAAATGACTGACCAATAATTCTGGGGTGACTATGACAAGTTATCTTTGAATAAAATGAAGAATTTCATTTGTCTTAACTGCGGCCCTTGTGTATTTTAAACTCGTATTGAAGCTTTCTAAGGTTGCTAGTCCGAGTCTGACTTCTCTGAGAAAATTCGTGAGCGGATTTCCAACGAGGAAACTTTTTGTGTCAAGCGGGGCAGAATGTTCGAGACATGACATATCGACAGGTTGGGTTTTAACCCATTGTCTACTTTCCATCCCTTTATTGTTGTAAGGTTCACTTGAGGCTCAATTCAATCTTTTTCGATTCATATGAACCTCCAGACCTGCATAGACATGTGAGGTGATTTAATTTTACCTAAAATGTCACTGTTAAGGGTAAGAAACAGGAGTTCACATCGGATTCGCTACTGTGATACTACTTATGTTGAGACTCACGAGCACCAGTACATTCTATATACCGTGGAACGAAACATCATGTTCAATGGGTAGCATAGAAGTCAAGATATACGTGTCACTGAAACCCATATTTTGAACCCTTGATGTGAGGAGCAAGCTTGATGGTGTGTCGAAGGCCTTTGGGACGTCGGAGAATAATTTTTGGGGCCGGTATCTTTTAGTATCAGCAGGTCGTCAGGCAGTTTCATGCTGTGAATACGCAGGACCTGCCTTTTTTTAGACCAGTATTGGGTTTCATGGAGGATATAAATTTTGTCTTTGTGTTCCCTCGTTTGTTCACTGAGCAGTCCTTAAGTTGCTTTCGATGTGTAGATTACTAACGTAGATAATCTCTGTCGAATGATTGGGGGCCTACTCGAGTTAGACAGGAATGGTGTGACGAATGAGCTAATTTTGAAATCACACCTCGCTGTCATCACCTAGAGTCGATTAGCCTTTCTTTGTATAGATACTATAGCTGATTTGTAGACCGTATAACATAAAGGATGTTATTACAGAAAAATGTATTAGTAAGATTAAGTACAATGAAGAGATTACGACCACCACTTCATGGGCTAGTCCATAGCAAGCGATTAATTGATGCGCACTGGTTGTCCTCGAGCCTAACGGCGATCGATGAACTATTCAACATTGTGATCCAATTGCCGGATGATTTATCTAGGGCTCGGTGACATTTCGCTGAACTCATATACGGTATTAGGAGTAATGCGACTGGTTAATGGAGGGTCGCATCATTTTTATCCCCCTCTTCGAAGATTGAAGAGAGAGCAAACTGTTTCTGTTCTTTCAGCAGTCGATTTGATCATTCTAGGGAGCAATTTCCTGCAGGTTTAATTCTGAACTATTCCCTAGACCGTCGAATACAGAGTCTTGGTTTGGCCAAAGTCAGAACAAGCAAGCTATTTGACTAGATAAACTTTATCTGTTTCTAAAATATAAGTTAACATCGTTAGTGTACAAAAAAACAGTACGGTCTATTAATACAGGGAAAAACGGAGACAAATAACATACCGAACAATAGCCAGAGAATATGAAAAATGAGTCAACAAGCAAATATTGCTTTACAATGAAAATCAAACTGTGATTGGTTAATAAAGAGATACAGTCGCACAAGGTCAAAGGGAGTTAATGTGGTGTTGGGCGTTTCACTTTATTATTACTGACGTTCCTGAACACAGGAAATTCAGTTTCTTAATATTTACCCAGCCATGGCTCAGAATATTGAAGTAGGCCATAATTCAACATTGGTGAGATCGACTAAAGACATGCAGCTTGTCATTCACTCTCATATTCACTTTGACTTTATAGACTGATTTCAACTTATGTTTACCCATTATTATATTTGTAGGTTGATGAGTGCTCATGTGAATTATATTATTGTATTGTTGATTAGTATTCAGCTTACTGGCTCATTCGTTTCCAATAACTGATTATCTATATTTATGTTTAGCTATGATGATTCAATAACAAGCTTTAGTAGCATTTACATGCTTCAGTGAAATAGGTTTGTTAAGACATCACTCACTCACAAATATGTCTCTTAAACGATGTGGATACACATTGGCTATCGATTTAAGCAAAGACTGGATAGTTATGTGAATCTAATTCTCCATTTTTTTCTCACTTGATACTGTATTTTATTCCAAACTATGGATTATCTTTTCTCTCGACCACTGACTGCATAATTCCAATTTGCCAGTTCCATTGCCAAACAACGAGGACGATATTCCGAAAACTTGCAGCGAATCTGTAGAATTATGGTCTACTATGATAGCAGTACTGCTCTAATAATAGACCTAATAATATAATTGTACATTTGTCATGATATAACTGCCTAATCTGTAAGATCTTTCGTGAAGGTCACATCATCGCCCACGCCAACTCATTACATCGTCACATTTACCAATACCTGATAGAGAACAAACTTAGGCTAGAGATAGAACAATATATTTAATATAAAAAAGATATAAGGTGACATTCAGCAGGGACCACACCTGCATGGCCAAGCCATGCCATACGATCAACTCCGATTAATTCAACTCATTGTTCCCGCCTTTCCCATTGTTAGGTACTTCTCCGCGTTAAATATTGAATATTTATTTTCCGAGTAGTCTCGTGTTCACATTTGAGGATTGTGAGATTATGGTCCGATGTCACTACAAATCTAAGTTGCAAAGTTTCTGCAATCCGAAGCTCATTTCAGAGTGTTCATACAATGATAGTCACGTATTTATCTAGACTCGTGGATTTATAATGAATCAACCAAGCAACAAAGTCAATATCACCACACACATCCAGGAACTAGTTGCAATACTGCGCGTTCGATCTGATTCCTTTTCGATCTATGATATGTCACGATCGGCTTTTTATACGTCAAAACCATATGATGATCTAAATTCCGAGGGAAATGCAGGCAAGTTTCATTAATTTGCAGGATAATCTACCACGTTTTTGATACATGAATATATTTTCATATGAACCACTATATCCTAGCCATTCAGTCTGATCATATTTACAATTCAAACTACCATATTACAAATTAGTCTCTGTCCTCTCTCACCATAGAGATCACACAATTTTTTTATTCTTAAACAATCCACACACAAATTTACATGCATATCACTTATGAATCACCTTGACAGAAATGACATGACATTAACTTGTTCAGACCTGTTTTTGATTGATCGAATATTATTCATATTGTTCCGTTGTATAATTTAAACTTGGATTAATTTTAATTTGGTTATTTATTCTCTGAAGAAGTGACTTACACTAAATCATGAAACGTCAGATAATCTAATTTTCTACTCGTTGGGATATTACAAATATATTATTTATTTACACTCCCAGAACCGTTCTTGGCGTAAGATATATTTAACTTCAAGGGAAAACGTACTGCTATGAGAAAGCGTGTTGTTCTCAGGGGACCATATTAGATTGAATGTTAATTTGAGACTTCCTAGTTCTGATCAACGTTGCTATATAATCATGAAGTTACTAGACTAACTAGAGCGACATCTACATTATAACCCGTCATATTCCTAACTGTAGTCCTAAAAGTCGTGTCTCAACTTTTAGATCTTTTTCCACCCAATTTTTTTATTGTTATATTTTTCAGAAATATACATGTTCATCTAGATTATACATGCATTGGACTATATGACCTCTATGCTATTTAGATTTATCACGTATCTGAACCGCCTTTAACAATATCCACCAAACCCATCATAGTACTTATTGCTATGTGTATTCATGTTT